CATAACGTCGAGGGTGATGGAAACTTCTGCGACTCCGATTTCCGGCTGTGTCATCCTCCTCAGAGAGCTCCACCCACCCCCCACCTGCCACCCAGCGCCCAGGAGCAGCAGCGGCAAATTGACCAGGTGAGCTCACCAGGTAATATCGTTGCCACCGAGCACTTTGGCCCGTTAGCACGTCTCTGATGGGTGTTGTTGTGGGTGTCAGGACTACCTTGTGGCAGTGTCCCTGCAGCAGCAGCAGGGCGGGGCCCCAGGGCCCCTCAGTGACCTGGAGTTGGCCCGGCAGCTCCAGCAGGAGGAATATCAGCAACAGCAGCAACTCCAGCAACAGGGTTCAGTGCAGCAGGTAAGCTCACCTGGAGACAAGCCGGCAGACTGTGGGCGGCACTTGTAGGCCACTGCTATCACACCTTAATCCAAAATCAGGTCTCAAACAGGATACACTGAATCATTGGTGTGGAACCGGAACCTTAAAGGGGGCATGAAACTCTGCACGTGAAGACTTGTTTACATCACGGAGCCCAGCTCGTCGCTCTGGTAACCACCTGTCACCTGACTCAGGCTCTCCTCCACAGTCCTGATTTATAAAGTGTTGTACAGAGCTAACAGCCACTTCCTGCTGCACACACAGACAGTAAAGTGACAGTAGATCCTGGTTTAACATGAACTGACTGCTGCAGCGCTACAGTGATCCCCTCACACTGATGGTCAGCTTCACTGTCCTTTCCTCTGAGGTATCGATCCTGTCGCTTGTTAGCTCAGTCTGTTAGCCAACCACGTGATGTCACGCTGCGTACTGACAGGAGAGGGCGCTGTTTTTAAAACTTTCAGCACTTATTTGTTAAACCCGGCTGAGTTACATCAGTGTCTGAGAGCAGGTGTCAGTGAGCCTTCATGCACATAGTTTCATGTCCACTTTAAAACACCTGAGTTAGCATTCAGAAGACGAGTGTGAAATATTAGAATAAGTAGTTCTCTGACTGCCACGTAAATGTTAGTCACCATGAAAAGATTTTTTATTGATCTCAATAATGTGACAATAATAACCGTGACATGAGGTGATTACACTGTGTTATTGTTACGGTGTTCCAGGTCAGAGGTCAGGGGGCACAGCAATCCAGGAGAAGAGACAAGGACTCAGACTGCGTCCTCCTGTAGACTCTTCAGCAACGCCGCCATCATTGTCGTCTGTCACGCCGTCAGACTCCTGTGTGTCTGCGGCGGGCGGGTGAGGGGTCACGTTCGATGCCAAACCTCCCAGCTTCCCCTTTGTTTCACAGGTCAAAGGTCTTTAGGACCCGCTCTTCGCCAATGTCTTTATTAACCATTAATAAATATCGGACAGCGATGAAGTGATCAGACGGAGCTGTGGCTGAAACAACGACCTATGACTCTGCAACTATGTTATTTCGCAGCTCCTACTCCTCTGTAGGCTTCCTGAAGTTGGCCAATCAGTAAAGTCTTAAAGGGGAGGAGCTAAAACGGTCGGAAACAAAATGTTTTAGCTCCTCCCCCTTTAACCCAGTGCTTGCTAACCCCGCCTCCTCCTGTGGCTGCGGTTGAAGTTCCTGAAACGAATGGAAACATGATTCCTGCCTCTTTCAAACTCGGACAAATTTAACTTCGTACAAACCAAACGACCTGAAAGCTGCTGGCTCTGTGTAAGGATATGCCCTCTGTGACATCACAAAGATCCCAGACTAGGACAAAACAAAATGTTAAGAATGGATGTTTCCTCCAAATTATTGAAAGTAAGTGTAATTAAAGATGAACATCTGAGAGCTGTTGTGCTGTGTGTATTACTGTCCACTGTAGCTGACGAGCACCTTCAGGCAACTGTTGTTGTAATTTGGCGCCGTGAAAGTTAAACCATGACATCGTGTTCCCACGACGAGGACGGAAAAATGAGGGTTTGTCTGTTTGGCCTGACTGAAGGAGCCGATGGTGATGTGACATGGCAGGCCATTATTAACCTCGAATGTGACGGCTCCGTAGCGCTGCTTTAGCTAAAAACGGGTCTTTCACTGGTGTTTCCTGGGACCAGTTTGACCAGAACCTCCCAAATATTCAGTCTGAAGTTGTGAAAGAAAAATAAGATCCTGTGATTCTCCGACTGGTTCTTTGTTTCCCTGCAGATTAAAACGAGGTCGTCACGGTTGTGACATTTGACCAAATTATGACATCAAAGTTTGGATTAAACACGTAAAAAAAAAAAACATTTTAATATCACTGAGTTTTTGTTTTTCTGTAAACATTAACCGCGACTGATTTCATCACCAATAAATTTGGCTTAAAGGAACAAATGTAAACGCGCCTTGAGTTCCATGTCCCACAGATTCATGATTGAGTCACTGGTTCATTTTGTCCTCTTCACTTGCAGTGACTCAGTTTAACTTGAACTAAAGTCTTGATATAAAACTTTTACCTGTAAATGATTTTGTGGACGTCATTCACAGTGAGTGGACAGACCAGCCGTGACGTCGTGGCTGTTTTCTATATTTTCTCTTAAATCTGCTTTGGAAACAAACCTAAAACTCAGGACGTTTGAGGTGAAAACCTGCGAACTGTTCGTCTGAGTTCAGACTTGGTGCAGTTTCTTCTTCAGATCAAACAAAGAATTAAGAACTTGTTTAACGCCACAACAGCGTTCCCGTCATGCCTGTCAGGGTTTTGGGCACGAACGGCAAAAAGATGGACGTACCTACTCTGACGCCACCTGCTGGTTAGTGAGATCGTCACAGCAGTTCACGTAACCTCTTTGAAACCAGGCGGGTCCACATTTCGCAGATTTGTTCGTGTGTCATTAATCACCCATGCAGAGTCTACTCACCTCTATAGGGCCTGAAGTCTTTGCAGCTACAGCTATCGCCATCTGGTGGCCTTCAGATAGAACGCAGGCACTTTCTCTCTGGCTTATTTTTTTCATACCTGGACGTCACCTCCATGTTTTTATCGTCTGTGGTATTTTATTTCTTAATTTAGCTTTCTTTGGTGTGACTGTTGGCCCGCCGCTCTGTTCAGGCTTTGTTTAATCTGCCGTCCTGTCAGATCGTCAATAAAAACTCTGAATTTGACTTCAGTTTCATGGATTTGTTCACAAACATTAACATGCGGATTTTGTTCTTGTTATTCTGGATCACCACAGACAATTTCAAACATTTGAACACCATCGCCTTTACAACTGATTAGTTGGCAAACTTTTTTTAAATTTAGTTTATAGGAAACAAACCAGAATGCAGACCAACATTGTTATGGACGCCTGTGATCATAGAAAAATCCGAATTGTGACTTTTTTTATTTTTGTTATTTTCTTACTTTAAAGAGAAGAGTCTTTCAGATCAGAGGCGTCCAACTCCAGGCCTCGAGGGCCGGTGTCCTGCAGGGTTTAGAGCTCACCCTGGGTCAGCACACCTGAATCACATGATTAATTCATTGCCAGGCTTCTGGAGAACTGCAGGACATGGTGAGGTCATTTAGCCGTTTAAATCATCAGTGTTGGATCAACGACACATCTAAGACCTGCAGGACACCGGCCCTCGAGGCCTGGAGTTGGACACCTCTGGTGTAGATGTTCGTAAACATAAAATATGAGATGCGAAATTTCAGATTTGACTTTCTTTAAAGTTAATTATGCACCAGTTAGAAAAGTGATTTAAAACCAGTAAGTATCTTACACACTGAGAAAGCACACAGGTGCAGGTCAGAAGCAGGTTTCAGGTTTATTGAATAAGTTGCCATGCAGTTAGTCAGGACGTGACAGATGGACTCTACATGATGAGAAACAGGGACACACCTCCAGTCGTCAGCTGGATCTTAACGATTCAACACATTAATGCACGTCGCTGCAGAGATGCAGACTTGGGCTACGTTCACACTGCAGGTGAAAGCGCATCAAATCCGACTTCTTTGACCCTGTGCGACGCGTATCCGATCGTAGTGTGGCAGTGTGAACGGCACAAATCCGATCTGGGTCACTTTCGTATGTGGTCCTGAATCTGATACATATCTGATGTTTTAGAAAGCGACTGCTGTTTAATGGTCAGGTCGCATTAAATACGTCTTTTATGTCACTGACACAAGACGGACGCCAATTATCAGCGCCGGAGAAGACATCGTGAACGCTTCCTGGCCATCCAGTGAAACTGTTGGGAACAACGTTGGAGAAACGGGAACATTTTATTTGTTCTGTATAATCTGCAGATTCTGACAGAAATCTGCAGATATCCTTTGAAGCACCGCTCCTCTCTAAAACAGCAATAAGGATCATTATTAGGCCAAATGCAAATAACACAACTTTATAACTTAAAGCAAAATTGTAAAGCGCTATATAAATACAGGCCATTTACCATTTACCAAAATTGGGAAACGTAAAGTCTGAAACAGTCAAACATACTGTTGCTCTGGGTCTAAACTGAGCGCGTTGTGTGTGACGTCTTCCTTTGCGCATGCGGCTGCTTTGAGGGTTCACACTAGAGCGTGTTTGCGGTCACATTTTATTTGTAGTGTGAACAAGCAGACAAAGAAATCGGATTTGATCCAAAAATCAGAATTGAGCTGTAAGACCTGCAGAGTGAACGTAGCCTAACATTCTGAATGTGGTCGGAGGCGAGGAGCAGCTGCAGGAGAGGGCCAATAACGTTTGAGTGCCCAATCACCAGGAGTACATAAAGTCAACCTCATGATTCAGTGGCTTCATGGACCCCACCGCTCTCGTTTATTTACACTAATCTTCATATAAAAGTGCTTTTCCACATAATCCGACTTCATAAGCACGCGGTATGATTTGGGGTAAATGAATTGTTGATCTCACGCGTCCTCCTCCCGTCTCCTGAGATGATGCTGTTTGTGAATTACCTCAGAAATCACTCAAAGTGTTTTCATATAATGTTTCTTCACACAGTGAAAAGTATCGTTAACCGTGACGTTAGCGTCGTTAGCATTTCCCATAGAAATTCCTCAAAAACCAAACACTAACATGGCTGCTGTATGACTCCGTGTTTTAGTAAAATATTAACAACAAAGAATCCTCACAAACGACAGAAACGTTTCATAAATGCACTTTTTCACACTGACTGTGTTCAGAGCTGATGACAGAAAGGCAATGAGGATGTTCAGCGGCAGGGATTAGTTTCAACCATCCGTTCTCCCCACTAGCCTCCAAACTGCAACTAACCCATCATTTGGCTCGACTTTACAGGCGTCTCCAGCTTGTCAAACAGCAGTATCACTCCCCAATGATTTTACATTTTAAAGAGCCCCTCTGTAGCGCTTACACCCCGAGACGAGACTTGAAATGTAAATAAATGCAGATGAGCGAGGGGTACTGGAGTGTTGAAACTTGTCCCTGGAGCCGTCAAACCGAGGATATAAAAAGCACTTCTGAGGTCCCACCGTCCCTCCTGTTGCATTGATAAGTTTGTACCTTCTGTACGTCTCAAGGCATCGATTTTTCTCACGGGAAACAAACTCGGTTCGTGTACAGATTCACAAATAACGAACGACAAAGAATGCAAAGAGCGTTTGCTAATCTGGTAAACTTTAGACACAGCTGCACGTAAAATAGTGAGCTAGTTAGCAGACGGTAACGTGGCGCTGCGTTCACGACAACAGAACTGTGGTTGTCCTTTTACAGTGGTCAGAAAACTACTACAAACACTGGCTTTATTCCACCAAGACCCAGTTCACTGTCCGCCGGCTCAGCGTCCCCCTTTTCACAGTTAAACATTCATTAATAAACAAGAATAAAAACAAAACAGAAAATAAAACGATAATGTCCGAGCTTCAGGTGACCAGATTTTAGCCCCGACCTGATGTTAGCTGATTACCATTCGTATGGAATAACTAACCAAATTGGAAAGATTTTGTGTCTTGCTACCCGCTAATAATCAAGTGCATCTGAGAGTAAAATTATATTTTAATCGTTTTAGAGGAAACTGCCACTATAACACGTTCTTTCACTGAAATTAGCTCCAGCTATGTAATCAGTTAACTGCTCATCTCTACAAATGTAACGCTGTATTAGCTTACCGTTTAGCTAGCTGTAAAAATGCTTTATGTTTGATTTCAGTCATAACTGGGACTGCAGCTCAAAGCCAGCCTCCAGTGAACTGCTGCTGCCCTTAAACAGCGGGGAAAGTTGCTATTTACAGAAATGACAACTGTTAGCTAGCAAACGCTATCCGAAATGTTCTCATTTAGTGCGTCAGGTAGAGGTGCATACTGTAGAAATACACAGGAAGCCGTTCCTATGTGTAAGACGCTGAAATAAAGCCAGTGTTCCAGCATTACAGCGACATCAGCAGCAGCTGCTAAAACCGCTAGCTTTCGCTCAACAGCGAGAACACGTCTAAAACATTCACGTGTTCAGGAAACTGATCGTCAGTCTCAAAGAACCCAAGCTCAGCGTGCACAGAACCGCCTCTTCTGACTGGCCAGCATTAACCAACGGAATTGGGGCCAATCAGAGAGGAACACTGCTGAGCTCTTAGTACGTAAATACAGACTCACATAACAATAACGCGTTTAGTCCAAAGTGATAATAATAAGTATAATTCTCCTGATAAGAACCCTTTGGCTCAGAACGGCCACTTACTGTACACTGACATTGTCACTGTATAATTTCTAGCATGTGCACCGAGTTGACAGAAACACATGAACAACACAACTTCAGTAACTTTTTTTCAGAAATTGAAATTGGACCTAAAAAGATGTTGTAACAAACATTAAAATAAAAAAAATGAAAGTAAATATTTTTTTTCACCAGACACTCGTCACATTGATAAAGGTTTAGTATTTTCTTACACTAACAAGACAAAACTGTTTTATAAAAGCTCTCAAAGGCAACTTACTGTGTTTTTTGTGCTGATGCTAGTTGGTCAAAGGTTTAAACGGAAAGTGCAGTTCAGAAGAAAGTGCTGCCCCTCTACAGACTACTGCAAGTCAGCCAATCAGACGAAAGTAGGCTTATAGAGAGACAGCAACTAAAATGGCGTGTTTGTTATCTTGTTACAAAAAGTACTTATTTTAGAGAGGAATAAATAAAAAAAGTAACTTGGCGAAAAGTTTTATCCAAGACACTGTCAGGTTAATTGCTAACAAACTGCAATGAGGGAAAAATCAACTTAAGTGTATAATAAACGTATACTCTCTGCTGCTAGTAGTTTAGTGGTTATTAGCTAGTGAGAGAGCATAAGCTGTATACTACAGCAGTGAAAGAGTAATGTTATTAGGAAATGAGGACAGGACTCATTTATTTCTTTGATTAGCCTTAGCTAAGTATTAATTTTGTTAGCTAGTACAGGAACATTAGCTTAAAAAGACATCTCCCCTAGTAATTAAAAAATAATAATGTAGTTTATTGTAGTAATGGCCATATTTCTAATAAATATTCTGGACTTTGCTCCTCCACAGTCTGTGAGTAATTCTCCATTAGCATAGCTAGCATGACAGTGACTCTGTTAAAAACCAAACAGCTAAATAGATATTTGGGAAAGAAAAATGAGCTAAAGTGGTAAAATAACAGTTTAGGAAAAAGTGAAATACAATGAAATAAAACAGAGGAAAATGAGCAGCAGTGGTCACTGGCTCAGGCTAATGGACGTTCAGGACAAAAGAATTTGAGCTTGCCCAAACCTCGACGCGCTTACAGTTGCTAAAAATGTCGGGACAAGGCTGACGATGAGCTGTGAGAAATGTCTGGTGAAAACAGGAATGCTGCTGGAAGATAAAGCGATAATCTGTAAAGGAGGGTGGATACGTCAGCCTTTCTGTGAGCGTGCCGAGAACGCTCAGTTCACGTTGTGCTTTTTCCTCGTAGCCATTCTGATTCGGAGAGCAAACTCCTTCGACCTCTGCTGGTGTTCGCGTCCACTCGGACTTCATTTAAACGTCAAGAGAAGGTTCGTGCCGACCCAGTCAGACGTGTCCTCGGGCTCAACCTCGAGTTACTGCGGATTTCTCCTCTGAGTCCACTTTAAACTACGACAAGTTGGGAGGAAAAAGAGGGCGCCTTCTGGAATCTCGGGCTTACGATTACGAGACTTTTATCTTTGGAAAAGGAGCTTCTGTAATTACAGGATGTTTGCTGGAAAGAACAAAACGCCTTTCTCAGACGTTTTCCTGTCAACAGACGTGGAATCGGAAACATTGAGCTGTTTTTAGCTGAAGGATGGGTGAAGTAGTGGTGGTTGTGTCTGTAAACGCTCTGCTGCTGGGCAGTTTAGTAGTGATTATGAGCTGGTTAATAAAGTCGACAGCAGTGACGAGTTCACGCATTTCCGTGTGACGAGCAGCAGGAAGTCGAATCTGCCGTGATGTCGCTTCGATTAGCTGCAGATGTAAATCCATAAACGATGTGATGAAGTGGTTTCCGTCTCTATCGAGTCTTCCAGCAGCCGCTTCGACCCCGATGACGGTGACGAGGCGGCTCCATCGAGGCGGCGGCGCAGCGAAACGTCTGCCGGCTCCGGCCACCGCTCAGTCCAGACGGGTCACATGATGCCGTTGGTGACATACTGGAAGGAGTCGTAGAGTTTGGTGGTGATGGAGCGCACGGACCCGTCCACGAGCTGCTCCACCAGCAGCTGCAGCTGCTCCTCTGTCAGAGACATGTGGAAACGGTCCTTCAGGCTACGGATGGTGCTCGAGCCGTGGAAGCACGGCAGGTGGGAACCTGTGGGGTTAAAATAAGAGTGCACAACAACTTTGTTAACAGCTGACTGGCAAACACGTCCTTAAACCCACACCGGTCAATTCGTGCACTCTGGACCTCCGCCCGAGTCGCCGACAGCGCTACGATGTGACGCAGGAATGAGTTTGTTGTTGCAGCTTCACTGCGAGGGTTATAGGGGCCAATAAGAGAACTCCTTAACCTTTGTCTTGCCGGGCTGCTGTGACGCAGTGTTGGCAGTTTCCGAAATTTGCAAAAACCGGCTGTAGGCTGCAGCTGCTAGCTGTCTGCTAGCTTGGCCTCTGCTGCCTGGAGTTAGGTGGAGCATGACTCGCTGCATCATCTGCACACACTCAAACATGAGCTTTTGTTCTGGATAATAAAAAGTTTGGAGTTTTCAGCAGGGACGAACTTTGTGGCCGGACCTGTTCCCTGATGGTGTGGATGTGGAACAGAAAGTATCCCCGTCCTACAGACTAAGACTGACTGCGACTCGTACTTACAGCTGTAAATATGGGGTTAGGCTTAGGCCGCGCGTGTGTGCCGTTTTTAGCTGTAAGAAAGGCGCAATGGTGTTACCTTGCTGCATGATCTCCACGATCTGCAGCACCTTCTCCATGTGCTTCCTGGCTGCGATGAGACCCTGAAGCATCAGCATCTTGTAGTAGTTGAACATATCTCCGTTCAGCCCGCCCATCACCTGAAACACAGCAAACACCGGGCATCAGGACAGCCACCATGCTAAACTCCACAGGAAGCTTTTCTTCCACCAAAATAAAAGCTTCTGTCATCAGGAGCCATGAAACCCCGATTTCTAGAGTCCTTCAGCGATCCACGCGTGAATCAAACAGAAATTCATCCAAATCAAAACTAAACCTCTGCAGCGCCAGGCTGAGAAACCACGACCGAGCCGGCTGTGACCGGCGGTGCTGAGGGCTCAATGCTGAACAGGACAAGTGGGATCTCCTGATCCTGCTGCTGACAGCTGTCGGACACCAGAAAGGATCCTTAGCAACTTTGAAGCTCCAAAAACAAAATGAACGATTCATCTACGGGTCAGCAGAGAGTCGGCTTTGAGTGGCTAAAAATCCCATCCAGACGTGCAGGGCAGCCCTCCATCTGCGTGCTGGTCTGTTCTCAGTGACAGGTAAATATCAGGAGACTGCACCTGAGCCCAAAATTGTGATCAACCTCTGCCCGGGATCATCTCCCTCCAACAAATCCTCAGGCTGTTTCTACTCACGTCCACGAACTCCGAGGTCAGCTTGAAGGCAGATGTCTCGAAGCCGAGGTTGCGAGGAGAGCTGGAGAGGATGAAGCCAAAGTCGATGTGGATGATGTGGCCCTCGGAGTCCAGCAGGATGTTCCCGTTGTGCCTGTGGGGATCAGAGCAGGTGTTACCGAACGATTCGCATGTAGGATTCTCTACATGCTGCAGAGCTAAGCAAGGAAATTCTTACCTTCTCTACACACAAATAAATCAAATATATACAAAAGTCACACTTTTTTAAAAAAAGCATAGAAAAATAGAGCAAGCACTGTATAGGAAAGAGCTGAGAGTGGTCAGAAAGTAGAGTCTGCAGGATGTCAATGTAGATGTACAGGTGACTGCAGTGTGTGCTGTGGGGGGGAGGGGGTGCCTCTTTAGGACCCCGTTGTTATAAGGCGTCCCCTCCAGTGATGGGAAAGCAATCCCACACATGGACCGTGATGCTGTAATGACAGCCTGTAGAGCCTGCTGTCCCGCCCTGGTGGTGCAGTTCCCATAACACATGATGGATAAATGGATGTATAGCTGTATAGATGGATGTATAGGTGGCTGTGTAGGTGTATAGGTGGATGTATAACTGTATAGGTGTACAGGTGGATGTACAGGTGTACAGGTGGATGTACAGGTGGATGTACAGGTGGATGTATAACTGTACAGGTGGATGTATAACTGTACAGGTGTATAGGTGGATGTATAACTGTATAGGTGGATGTATAACTGTACAGGTGTATAGGTGGATGTATAACTGTACAGGTGGATGTATAACTGTACAGGTGTATAGGTGGATGTATAGGTGTATAGACTGGATGTATAACTGTACAAGGTGTATAGGTGGATGTATAGTGTAAGATGGATGTATAGGTGGATGTATAGGTGTATAGATGGATGTATAACTGTACAGGTGTATAGGTGGATGTGCAGGTGTATAGATGGATGTATAACTGTACAAGTGTATAGGTGGATGTACAGGTGTATAGGTGGATGTAGGTGTATAGATGGATGTATAACTGTACAAGTGTATAGGTGGATGTACAGGTGTATAGGTGGATGTGTAGGTGTATAGGATGGATGTATAGGTGGATGTGTAGGTGTATAGGTGGATGTAGGTGTATAGTGGATGTATAGGTGGATGTGTAGGTGTATAGGTGGATGTATAGGTGTATAGGTGGATGTATAGGTGTATAGGTGGATGTATAGTTATAGTGTATGTATAGGTGTATAGGTGGATGTACAGGTGTATAGGTGGATGTATAGAGGGCTGCATTGACAGTCTTCAGTAGAACAGTTCTGATGATATGCAAACTGCAGGGATGTAAAGGACCTGGAAGGTTTCTTTATGTTTCTTTATTAGATGTTCAGGGCTTTCGGGGCTTAGTCCTCGTCAGGACCTTGCGGTAGAATTGCTCAATGTTGGTTGGTGTTAAGGGTGTTAAAGCAAGCGTGGAGCTCTTTCAGCTCATCTGGTAGTGCACTGTCGCTGGCTGTCACCCTTTTTTGCAGCATTTAAAGTATGACGTGAGGGTTAATGGGGCAATATTCTCAATGCATGTGCTGAGGTTGCTAGTAATCACTGATGTAAAGTCCTCCGAATCCACAGACCCGTCCTCACTCAAGGCAGCAGTCTTAACCTCGTCAGCAGGGATAACGGTCACTGTTTAACTTTTATGAATGTCTCACCTGTCTTTGACCTGCAGCAGGTAGCAGATGAGGCTGTAGCCGGCGCAGCTCTGCACGAAGTTCCTCTGAGCGGTGAGGAAGGCCTCTGTGGTGAAGCTGCCGTGTTCCTGCAGGAAGTAGTCAAGCAGCGACAGCTGACTCTGCTTCCTCACCTGGAGGACACACACACGAAAACTGCGTTTCAGTCTCATAGACAAAGAAAACTAACTTTCCCAGAATTCCCTGTGTACCTGGTGCAGGGAGACGGCGTTGAGGACGGGCTCGATCATCCCGCTGTCTGAAGACATGACGAGGATCTTGTAGGGTTTGATCCACAGAGGAACGCGCTCCTGCTGCCAGATGGACTGACCAAGGAAACAGACTCGGCTTCAACATGGAAGCAGTTTAACCACACGGAGACTGCGTCTGTATCTGCATCTGTACCGTTGTGTGCATGTGTCTGTACTGCGTCTGTACCTGCAGCTGTCTGAGGACCTGATAGGCCAGCAGCTCCTGCCTCAGATCGTCCCCACACTTCACGATGACCGACAGCAGCCTCCAGGTGTGCAGGTGGCCGTACGGAGACGCCTCTCGGATCCGCCTGAACACAAACGGCGTTAGCGCGAGGAAGACGTTGTGGAGCGTTCACCTGCTTGGCTTCACAAACCCACCTGACTTTCTCCTCCCAGGGCTCTTTGAGGGCAACAGCCGACGGGTCCTCGGGGTCCCTCCTGAATGCGGTGGGAGTGTGAGCAAGGTTCTCCGATAGCCGCCGTCTGAAAGAAAAAAAAAAAAACAGGTCGGAGCGTCACGGCAGAACGCACAGCTGAAGATCGAAGCTTCACGGGACTGCTGAGGCCATTTCATCCTCAGAAAGAAGAGTTCCTGAACGTGCTGCTCTTCAGAGATGTACACTCCTGGACAGTGACAACAACTCATCATAATTACATCTGCACACCAGGTGATGTTGGTGTCCTATCAATATGGCAACTACAAAGAAAGCTTCTATGGGGAAACTAATAACTAACAAAAAGGTCCAGTCTATGTAGGTGCGGTTCCTTTATTGTTTTAATTAGTTTAAAAACAACTTCAGATCACATTTTGTTGCTGGTAGTTCTTTTTGAACGCAGCTCAATATTCCTGTGGAGCTCCTTTATAGCTTGAATTTACTGAAACTACAAACACATAATTGTAGTGTGGAGGGGTGTGGTCTGTAGCTCAGCTTCTAGGGAGGGGTGGTGCACTGGGTTCAGTGGGCGAGGCTGCTCAGAGGCTCCTGTTTGAGCAGCACGCCAAGGCCTAAAGGGGGGAGGAGCTGAGAGCAGAAAGCTGCAAGTGAGCGGGCATCAGCAACAGTGAGACCGCGGCCGCCAACAGCCTGGAAACGCTAAATTGTAAACATGAAGCGCCAACATGCACGTTGGCGTCGTGCTGGGCAGAACCAACACTAGCTTGTGTTACACGTAGCTTACCACGGGTAACACGGCGTAATATTTCGTTTGAACTGCCCTGAAACAGCACTGGTGTTCCCGCGTTTCTGCTTCTAACCTCCGCCTGTGGAGGGCAACCCGCTGTTTACCTGATGTCTCCGGCTGCGATGAACACCGGCTCTTTGCTCTCCAGACTCGTGATGCTGTCAACTGAAAACTGACTGATGTTGTCGCTGCTGCTGGTCTGAGCCTCCATCTGCAAACACATGCTTGTTACTGTGCTTCGGGAGGACAGAGTACACAGGGTTACTGCAGGCAGTATGCTGACGCTTTCACATACCTCCACCTGCAGCTGCCCGATATCATCGGTGGCCCACGCCTCGTCATCGTTGTCGTAGTTTGGGACGGTGCAGAAACTTCCCGTTCTGTGTTCCGATGTCATACCACTGCTGCCATTAGCTGCGGTGCTGCAGTCCAGGTTCTCTGCGGAGCGGGCCGAGCGTATCCGCGTCTCTGGGATGCGAACGGGAACGGGAGACGTCTCGAAGCTGTCGCAGTCCAACACCTCCACGTAGATGATGTATGGAGCCTAAAGGAGGAGAAGGAGCAGCAGTCAGAGGACATTGGACAGATGTTCTCTGGCACATGTGGCGGGTACACCGGAGGTCACCTTGTCCTTGGAGTTTAGGACCACAGCCTGTGTATGGGGGACCCTGCAGACATGGTGCTGGTGCTCGGCGGTGGGCAGCCACACTCGGGCCGGCAGCTTGTGGTTGAGCAGCGACAGCTCGGAGATCAGACGCTGGGTCTTCTGCTCTTTGGTGGGCAGCGTGGCGAGACGCTTCCCGATGCACAGCAGAGACTTGATGAACTCCCTCTGAGGACGGAGACGCTCGGGCTGCAGACGCACGAAACACCCACAGAGAGTCATCATTTCTAACCACACACACGTTCCCTGATGCTCCGCCCACAGAGGCATGTGAGTGACTCATCAGTAGCTCGAATGGGCAGTTTAACCCTTTAAAGCCGGTCGGAGCAGCACGCGCCGTTTTGCGTAACTATTTTTAAATCCCTGTAGAACCTGAACCACGTAAGCTAGCGCAATAATTTTTTTTGCATATGAAACCGGAGGAGTTGTACTTGCAACTTATGCCATCAGCTTGTCCTCGGTCACGGTTTCCTTCCACACAAAGCTTTGCAAAAATTGCATAAAAAGCGCTTGCAGGAACAAAAACATAATATTCCAGAAACACGCTTTGCCGATCCGATCAGCTGTTTGTAACACTTCCCACAGTGAAACAGACGTCAGCGCGAACGATCGCATGTCGGCCATTACCTGTCCAAAACCGGAAGTGACGTCATTTTCGCGGAAAATGTAGTTTTTAACTTGTAGGCCTTGAAAGCCTATACTGGTGTTTTTATAAGTCATGTTTGATTTTATGCTTTTCTGAATAGTTGCTGTGATGTTTAGAACTCGAATTGCACTGCTGGAAATAGTTTATTTTGATGCACCTGCTGTTGTCTTTGCAAATTTGCATCATAGGATTGCTTTTCGTTTTTCGCTTTGAGCGTTTCGAAAAGCACTATATAAATGCAGTCCATTATTATTATTAGTACCTGTTAGAGATGGACCGATCTGATATTACGTATCGGTCCGATACTGACCTAAATTACTGGATCGGATATCGGAGAGAAATAAAAAATGTAATCCGATCCATTAAATATCACAAACGCACCTCACAAAACTTGCGACATGGCGACTCGGCTCATAACCATAGCACGTCTGGTTGAGCATTTGTAGCCTCGCTACCAATCCGGCATTTCATCTCCAAGAAAGGTATCCCAGAGAAGTAAAGCAAGTGTGTAAGTTATCGCATTCCCACGTTAAGCTTAACAACAGATATATGGAGCGACTGCCTCTCCTGCTGCTACTTCAATCATGAAACTGATCAATGATCAGCTGATCGTCTCTCTTCTTTGTTTTTGGCCCACTTTGCAGCAGAAAGAGGAAACCAGCGGCTGAACAGCAGCAGCACGTTTAAGCTTGATCAGCTGCTGTTAGAATTTATTTAATATTACTTTCTACACCAGGATCTTTTTTTACAGCTGACGTAACTGTGCAAGGGCGGATCTAGCAAAGTTTAGCCAGGGGGTCCGATAGGGCATGAACAGGGAGAAGGGGGCACAAGGACATACTTTTCTTTCTTATTCTCATTTAAAATGTCGAGCTTTTAATAAATAATTATCTGACACCCAAAGTTTTAATTTGATGTAAAATGAATAGAAGTCCATTACTGTATATAGTAACTATTAAGTCTAATATACCCTAGTAAGCTATAGTACTTTTTCCTTTGGGAAGGTACCATCTGTGCAGTCTGCAATTCTGTAGAAGAAAGATGTTGAATCTATTCAATTATTCTTGAAAAATAATTTATTTCTGTGCATTTTTTTTAAACATGTGCATTAAATTAAACTTGATTACGTCGATTAAGCATCACGAGGTGGAGGGTGGGGGGTTCCCTATTTTTATTTTTATTTATTTTTTTGCTGGGAGTTGGCAGCCCTGTTAGTTATGTTGCTTAATATTTCCACTAAGTAAAATAGCAGAATAGGGAGGATGGTGCAGGTTTAAGTTTATTAGATTGGTCAGTGTTGCTGGTCTAATATAGT